GCTTCTTGAGCGTTTTTTCGTTACCCTGTAAAATATTCCAAAAACATTATTCATAAATACAACCACTCAAAGAAACCCATATTTTCCGGAGAACTTACATGGACCTGAATCTGGTCACTTCAGCAAGGAGAGGGTTCACCATGATCATGGTGGGATGTGTAGTAGATATAGTGACTTTTCCTAAATATGTATGCAATCGAAAATATTAAAAAACAATTAAGTTTTAGCAACAAACATAAGAACACAGAAAACAACTAAATCCGACAAATCTGCGTAGATATCAACTATAGCCCATCTTGCAGCAAAAACCACCACATCACTGCTACAACTAGACCAGTCATTATAAAACTTCCGAGCATCACCGCCAAGCATCACGCATTTGATACATACGTTACTGTACAAGCGAAGAATGTATATCATATGAATTAGCAATCAAAAATATCAGGCAGAGATGGCATGTGTAACACAACAACATACCTTAGATCTCTTAGTTCGAATGCAATGCATATCCACCAGTATCTTTATTAGGTAATTTCAACTCTCCTACACACACAACTTCCCCAATTAAATCTAGAAAACACAAACAGATGCAATCAATATTTACGACAAACTAAAACAACGCCATATTTTATAGCAGCCGAGCATTTAAACAATAACATACCAACCAAAGACCGATCTGAGGGAGCCCTAGCGAGAATCTGCTCAAAGCTTATAAAATTAAAAAAAAATCGATCAAATGGATGAACTTGCGCATCAACAACCGTCGGACCTAGAATAAGCATCTCACTGCGATGGGATGAAATTCTATAATCGCTATTTAAATCAATAACAACGAATTTCCTAACTGTAACCCAAACACCCTCACACAGCACAGAAAAGAAACGGTCATAATCAGTAGCATAAACGGTTCTACAAATCTTCACACCCTGTAACACAGTAATGAAACCAAACACTGAAGTACCCAACAACGAAAATAATAACACAGAGTACAAGAACAGATCATTTAAACAAACCTTATCATCGCACAAAACCAAATTCAATCTTTTATCAGACAGACGAAACAAAGTAGTCCAAACTCGTAACACCTTCACGAAAACTACTGACCCAACAAAACCAGGTCTCAATTGTGAGACACCAAAAGAACTTGGATCATGCAAGAACTCTTTTCGTGCGAACTGCATATCAAAGCGATAGCCAATATCAGTGAGTGGACGTGAAACAGCAACGGAAAGTGTCCCAGATAACTCGGGAGTCTCGCTTTCAAAGCCCACATCCAAAAAATCACAATCGATGTCACCAAAATCGTCTTCACCGAGCCATACCTCGTGATGGCATAACGTCTATCATCCATATCTACATAAATGAACAACCGCTTAAACGCTTGAGGAACAATATTGCCAGCAAACATGGTCTCTACTATAACATAAACACATCATCCACGAGCATACCTCGGGGATTTAAAAACACATAGGGCACATTATATGATCGGAGACTGTCATCACAAACTCGCTGAACTCGACTCACCAAAGGATCTTTAAAAAAAATCACAAAGAAACTATGAAATATATAATAACCAACACAAATCACATCATAACGTAGCCATAACAAAAAAAAATACCAGTTCCTTTACATGCACGCAGCAATGACTGGGTAGGATGTTCAGGGAACACAGAAGTGGAAGACGACGACACAACAACATAAAGAGAAAGAACCATGATACCAAAATAGAATCTAGTAATTAGAGAGAATATATATATATCCTGTCAATCTAATCTAAGAATGAGCAATAAATTAGGGTTTACGTTTTTATCCCATCAACATTTAGTTTCAAATAATAATTAAATCACAAGACAATACTAACATACTAATATAATCAAATATATGGTTACGTGTATATACTAATATTTTTGAATATACAAACAAACGAAAATCAACACGCTAGTGACATGGGAAACTATACATAAAAATCTCAATTATAATATTACTAATATAAATATTTCTCATCTTATACGTACTATATAACCATTTTGAATATACCCAATTATGTTAATATATACGAATATCCATTATTACTTTTGTGAATCATAAATAGCCATGTATTGATCGATATATATGAATCACATATTTTGAAATATATTAATCATAGAATATCCATTATTGCTTTGTGAATCATTATTAATCATGTATTGATCGATATATATGAATCGCATATTTGAAAATATATTAAACATAGATTAAGAGTAGATTGAGATATATTTGAAAATCGCATATTTGAAAATATTCTTGGGTTAATATTTGAAAATATATTGGTCTATTCTTGGATAATATTTGAAAATATATTGATCGCATAGATTGAAAATATATTTTCAAATTTATAATACATATATGTTGAAACAGTCAAAACCAAGATTCATTAAAATATTGTAAACACATAACATATTAAATAAGATATCGAAGATTCAAATAATTTATAGATATATATATAATAATAATTAATCCTTTAAAACCGAGACCAAAACAAAATATAAAGTCATAAAACAGGATCATATGTCCGTTAAAAAACAATAGCGCAACTATTAATCCCCAAACAAAACAGACACCACTGAACTATTGTATCAATGACTTGCCTCCCACAACGCCGCAGCATACTCTTCATCATCATCAACTAAACCCAAAACACGGCATGCATCCTTAAATGTCAGATAAACAACACCAGCCACCGTCTTTATAGAATCAAAAGATGTCAGACCCTTTACTCTAAGCAATAAAAGCCTCAGGTAATAAATCTCTCCACAAGTATCAGGACAATATGCCAAACGACCTGGTTTCCTACCACCACGGCATCTAGGTTTCCAATGTTTACCATTCCGATCCCATACCCACTTTGTAAGGAACTCCATGTAAGTCAAGTGTGCTGCATCTGGGTAAACCCTATTACACTCCATCCAAGAACTTCAATGAACTTGCATTGATATTCGCACTCGGAAGATGATACGATAGAATATTAGTTCCTACAATAGACACAACCAAAGTTAAAAACCTTCATATAATGACATAAATTTAAAGCATATATAAGATCACAGATTGTAAATTATAAACACGTAAAGATATATACGTAAAAATAGACAAAACGATCAACTGACCAATATAACGCATCATGAATACTATAAAACCCAGCAGAACCATTCAATAAAAGACACACAGTTAGATACGATAACAAAATAAACGTTAACAAATAGAATATCATACATATCATTGGTATCCAACAAAGACATAAAATATTACCCAAGAATAGACCAAATAAAGAGATCTTGCGATAAAACGTAACCCACTCAGCGAACAACAATGAAAAACCTACACAAAGAGGTAAACAAAAATAATAAAGATCTAACAAAAAAACATAATAAAAATATACAGGCAAAGCAAAAAAAGAGTTTTAAAATAAAACAGTACTTTCTTCTAACTTCGAAAGACAGAAGAATTGTGGAACACGAAGACCAATCAGCGCCATCCAGCAACCTACTCAAGAGAAACACGAATATACACATGGAAATACAAAAAGATGACGCGAGAGAGAGATCAATATACAATAACTACATTAAACTTACCTTGATAACCAGAAGATCAAGCAGCAATGACCAGCAGCCTACAGAAAGAAAACAAGAATAAAAAAACATGAGCTAGAATCATTTAAACAAACAAAATACAAATAAAAAAAAACAGCATGAGCTATAATCATTTAGGACGCTAAGAGAAGCAATATATATAAACATAAAAGAGCAATACATACGAAGACAATAAAAGCGAACCCTAGGAAAGACAAAAAACTAAAAAATGCGATGGCTTAAAGTTTAGATTCTGAATGGAAGCAAAAGTATTTATACGTACTCGACAATCTAGGGCGAACTAAAAATATTCATAAACGAATATATTCGACTACCATATAAGTCGGCGATTCGAAAAAAGAAAATCCATCCTTATCCAACTAATTCATAAATGAAACCATCTTTACCCAATTAATTCATAAATGAATATATTCGACTACCATATAAATTGGCGATTCGAAAAGAAGAACCATCCTTATCCAGCTAACCGATCAATCGTTCTTATCTCTATCGAACTAACCATTCATTCGATTCAATAAACCGTGTATAGGAGTAAACCGATAATTAGATCACGGTTTTCATTAAGGATATAATTGGAAAAATCGATGGCTAAAGTATGGTGAGAGCGAACGTGGGAGCGACACGTCAGAAATCTACTTCTCAAATAATAATATAGATTCTGTTTTTTAATATAAAAAAGTGATGAGATGTAATGTTCAAGAATTACTTGAATACGATCACACCACCATTCATCGTACATTTCAATAGCTTGTGTGGCTTCATTAATTGTGACTACCGTCATTCGACGCAGTCAACGATAAATATCATAACTTTTTTATAGCGTACATAATATTAGTGAATTCCTTTCAAAATTTTGACATGTTGCTTCTCGAAATGCATCTATAATTCTCATTTTACTCTATTTCTTGAGAGGACTAGTACACAACCTATTACGTTCCATCTCAGTTTCATGTACTTCAAAAAAAAAATATGAACCATACTATCGGTCCATTGTATCTTTCCCTTAAGTAACAATATTACATACATATAATTAGTCAACTAAATTGAATACTATGATAACAAATACACGAAAAATAAAAATATTATATTAACTAAATATATACCTCTTTGCTGTTTGAAGATTGTCTTTGATTCACCATACCTATAGCAAACACACATAGTTAGTAGGTACATTTTTAAAAGAAACTAAATTCAAAAAAAAAAGTATACTATGGTTCTATGTATTACATAAATATCAGAAATAATAATTAATACTTATATGAAAAAAAAAGTACACAAATATTAGAAATAATAATAATAATATTTTTAATATTTATTGAAAAAAAATTCGCCATAGCCGCCTCACCCTGTGAGGCAATTCTGCTACCAACTTCGATGGGGCCTCCAGCCTTGCCGGACTCCGATTTGCCCAAGTGCTCCCCACAGACCCAATCAGTCGAGGGTCCGAAGCGATGGTCTGGCGTAGTTGAAGGAGAGACCAGTTTCCAGGAAATCTCAAAACCAGTTTTCGTCCTTGAAGGAGGCACGGAAACGGTAGTCCTCCCTCCAGAGATAATTGAGGATGATGCTCCTCTCTGGAAGTCATTTGTGGTAGGATATTTTATTGGTGAAGCTCCACATAATGGTAAGATCCATGCCACTGTCAATAGGATCTGGGCTGTTTCAGGCAACCCTATAAAGATTGATGTCTAGTTTATTGCAAAGAATACAGTTCTGTTGAAGATTGATAACAATCAGATCCGTGCCCGTGTGGTAAGGAGACGATACATGCACATCTCGGGGGTTCCATTAGTGGTCAATGAGTGGAATCCATAGACGGCACAGGCTCTGCCCAATCTCTCTGCCATGCCTCTCTGGATTGATCTCAAGGAGGTTCCAAATTATTTGTACTCCCTCAAAGGACTCAAATTTCTGGCCAACATTGTGGGAGGTTATGTCAAACTGCACCCCGTCACAGAGCGATGTACACAATTGGATGTTGCATGATTCTGGTCGAGGTCAACCTGCATGAACAACTAGCTCAGCGGATCAGTTTTGTTGACAGGTATGGAGTCGGTATGGAGGTTCAAGTACGTTATATGTGGTTATCTCCGCATTGTAATGTCTGACATAAGTGGGAGCATGAAGCTAAAGATTGCAGTGGGGATAAGGTACTGATCTTGCAAAGGGAAGATAAATCAGACTGGGTATCCCAGGAGGTCCTGGCTCCTCCTGCTACAGCACTGGTAAAAGACCTGATAGTCAATCTAGAACAAGCAACTGTCCGCCCAGTCCAAGAACAGAACAATGCACGGTCTAGTGATTCATCGGGGCTTCCACTAAATTCTGATTTGAGTTCGTGTGGGGAAAAGAATAATGGCTGGCTTACTGTTCCAGGACATCGTCACTCTCCTTCCTCGGATTTTCTTAGCATTAACCCTCATACCGCTCAGAAACAGCTCTCACGATCCCCTTTCCGATACCAGGTTCTGGCCAACATATCAGAGGAAGGTGAAGAGGAAGCTAAGGAGGAGGAAACAGAAGAAGAGGATTTAGTGGAGGCAAAATAGGAGGATAAACGTAAAGCTGATAAGCATCAATGTGGAAAGAATTTCCAGAAGGCTGGCCATAAAATGCCTAAAAGATGATATACATATCGAAAGAGCTAAAGTATGCAGTTCATCACAAAGAATCCACAAAAGTTTTCTCAAGGAAACTATGACATCTTTTTTTAGCTGGTACATGTTTGGGTTTAACTCACCACGCAAACATGAGGTGCTTCGATGCTGAATACAGGAAGTGAAACCAATGTTTGGATGTTTATTGGAAACAACGGTGATGCAAGAACATCATAGTTTGGTTTTGAGAGATGTTCTACCTGGGTGGCAATCATACACAAACTATGAGTATAAACGAGTAGGCAGAATTTGATTTTGTTGGTCGGATACAATGGAGGTTACTATTCTCTACAAGAGTGCTCAAATACAGACTTGTGGTAATCTAGTGATCAGTACATGAGTGAAGTTTATCTGCTTTGCCGTCTATGCGTTAAACTTTGAGGCTGATAGAAGAAGTTTATGGGATGATATCCGGTCTACCAGAGCATTGTATAGGCATATTTCTATGTCATGGATCCTGCTTGGCGACTATAATGAAAAGTTATCAACCGGAGAGCACTCCCGTGGCTACGATCAGAGAGTTACTCAAGGGGGCATGAGGCAGTTTCAGAAACTAATTGTAAATTACAAATTGGTAGACCTAAATAGTGTGGGGGCATTATTCACCTGGTGGAATAAACGTGAGAATGGTCCAATTGGGAAAAAGCTTGATCGTGCCTTAATCAATGTGGAATAGCTTACTACTTTCCCGCAGTCATTTGCTAGTTTTGAAGCGGTGGGATCTCTGATCATGTGCGATGCCTTGTCCACCTTACTCAACAATCATCGGTGCTACAAAAGCCTTTTAAGTTTTTCAATTATCTGGCTGATTATAATCACTTCATCCCTACAGTAACGCAGCTATGAAATGTGCAGCCCCCTCTCTATCACTCACGAGCTGCATTGTATAGAGTTCACAAGCAACCCAAGCTACTCAAGCATGACTTACGGGCATTGAATAGAAATCAGTATGGAGACCTGCCTAATCGTACCAGGACTGCTTATGAGGATCTCTGCTCCAGTCAGAATCAGTCTCTACTCAACCCGATTACAGATACTCTACATGCTGCAGCTCAGGCTGCGAACAGGTGGCACAATCTAGCAAGAGTGGAAGAGTGTTTCTTCCGATAAAAATATTGTGTCAAGTGGTTAGCTGTGGGTGATCAGAACATTGCAGCATTCCACAGAGCAGCAGCATGATGTACAGCTTGAAATACGATTAAGACATTGGAAACTCAAACTGGCGAGGTGCTCACAAAGTTGCCAGACATTAAGCGAGAGGTGGTCACTTATTTTCAGAAGTTCCTCTAGATTCAACCGACTGACACATTTGATATCTTCTTGGACAGTCTTCAGGAGCTACTTAGTTATCCATGCTCCAGTAATGATGCGCATAAGCTGGTTGCCCCTATCACTCTGAATGATATTCAAAGTGGTTTCAACTCTCTCTCCCAATGCCAAAGTCTCGGGATCGAATGGATTCACCAAGGAGTTCTTTGTCTCTGCCTGACCAGTTATTGGTCAGGACTTTACTACAGCAGTGCAATTCTTTTTTATTTTTGGATTCATGCCGAATAGTGTTAATGCCACCATCCTCTCACTAATCCCGAAGGATGAAAATTAAAAAACTATGAAGGACTATAGACTGATAGTATGCTGCAACCTGATTTATAGAGTTATCTCTATGATCCTTGCTTCGAGGCTGAAGGTCTTACTTCCTCAGGATATTGAGCATAATCAAAGTGCCTTCATCAAAGGGCGTCTGCTGATAGAGAATGTTTTTCTTGCTTCTAAACTGGTTAATAGGTATCATAAGTCAACTTTGTCAGATCGTTGTGCAATCAAATTTGACATAACAAAGGCATTTAATACGGTCAAATGGTCATTCACCAGGCAATGGGGCTCCATGATTTGTTCATACATTGGGTCTATATGTGCATCTTAACTGCTGCTTTTCAGTGGCAGTGAACAGGGACTTAGAGGGGTTCTTCACTAATGTGTGTGGGATCCGTCATGGATGCTTCCTATCTCTGTATTTATATGTTATCCTGAATAATATCTTATCCAAGATGCTGAATAAGGCGGCTGCAAATGGGGGTTTCAGTTATCATCCACAATGTCAAGGGGTTGGCCTCATGCACTTGAGCTTTGCGGATGACATACTAGTTTTCAGCGATGAGAATCTAGCATCGTTGAATGGAATAATGGCGGTTTTCAAAAATTTGCTCAAGTCTCGGGTACATATTAATGTTGTCAAGTCATCTGTCTATGTAACAGGGGAATGTGACATTTGGATTCATAATGCGCTTACTGAAGCTGGGCTATCCATAGGAACGTTGCCAATACATTATTTGGGACTCCCCTTAACTACTAAGTCTCTCACTTCAATGGATTATGAGCCTTTGGTGGACAAAGTAAGGGGATATTTTATTGCTTGGGCACGCAGCTCTCTCTCTCCTATGCAGGCCGGCTTCAATTAATCAAGTCTGTGATCAACAATATTACCAACTTTTGGAGCTTTGCATATATCCTTTCCAAGAAGTGTCTGGATCAGATTGATCAAATGTGTAGTGCTTTCCTTTGGTCTGGATCGCCTACGGATACCCACAAAGCAAAAGTCACTTGGACAGAGGTATGTTTACCTAAATCCGAGGGCAGTTTGGGCTTACGACAACTTAGGGGCACCTCACGGATATTTTCTCCAGGTCTAATTTGGCGGTTATTCTCACTCTCGGGATCGTTGTGGGTTGCGTGGATACACAATTACTTGCTGAAAAATATATTTTTCTGGGCAGTTAATTAGGGAGAAAAGGGATTTTGGGTATAGAAAAAACTTTTAAAGCTTAGAGATCTGGCACATTCTTTCATCCGGTTTGGGATCAGAGATGGAAGAGCAGTGTACTTCTGGTATGATGATTGGCTGCAGAAAGGAAGCCTTTTGGCTGTTATAGGGGACCTGGTACAATAATTTTTGGCATCTGTAAGCATGCGACTGTGGCTGAAGCCTCTAATGCCGAGAGTTGGGTAATCCAAGGACACAGGGGCAGACATTTCTAGAGCCTCCGAGATAAAATTTTAGCCAGAAGTCGGACTGGACATGGTGATATGGAAGCATGATGTTGATACTTAACGCACAGATTATTCAGCCTCCAAGACTTGGAATCAGATCTGCGCCCAAAAAGAGATGGTGAACTGGCATAGGCTGGTTTGGTTTCGGCAGACGGTGCCTCGTTTCTCCTTCATGGTTTGGCTTACAATGCAGAATCGACTCTCGACAGGAGACCGTATGCGTAAATGGGGTCAGTTTCAAGTGTGCCTATTCTGTGGAGCAACGGATGAGACGCAAGATCATTTGTTCTATGCTTGCTCGTACATCTACACTATCTGGCTTGCTCTTGTCGGGGGACTCATGGGGGCAGCGACAACTCCAGATTGGCAAGACACCATGACTTATCTCCTCCAAGTAAGTCATAGACCACTTGACATCATTCTTCTCAAAATGGTTTTCCAGACCTCTATCTATTATATTTGGAGAAAACGAAATTCCAGGAGACATGGAGGAGCTATGACTCCTTACCAACAGCTCACCCGAAACATCGATAAGTCAATTCGGAATCGCATCAGCTCTCTAGGTTAATCACATCGGAATCGCATCAGCTCTCTGGAGGGGCTAATGAGAAGATGGTTTGAATATAGCCCCTCTTAGTCCTTCATTCTTTGCTAGTTTGGTTTAAATTCTTTTTTCATTCTTTTGATTCTTTGATCTGCCACACATGTATATGATTATAACTTTAGCTTTTTAATCAATAAATTTGATATTTCATAATAATAAAGAATACTAATTAATACTTATATTTTTATACTGCAGAAATAAAGTACAGTATAACATATATATAATAGTTATAATTAAAAAGTTTGTTGTATACATTTCAATCTAGTAAGAAACGCAAACTTGTTAATTAAAACACAATACTAACAAGGGTAAAAACAGAATGAAGTACATATCAAAAGATTCCTTCAAATATAAAATAATTAATTAAATAAACTTACCCAGAA